GGGCCATTAGAACCCAGAGAAGCTAATATACCTTGAATAAGAAATGTACCTTAAATTATCGGGGCCTTGATCTTATGATTTAAGGTATATTCCTTTATTAGGGGGTATTGGGTTCTTTGAGATGCTGTCGCCATGTTTGAGCTCTTTTTGGCGTGTACCTACGAAGAAAACAGAGACCGGTAGGACATGGGCTGAGCTTAGACTACTCCTTGCGCGAACGAAACAACGCTTGCGAAGCCACATGCCCAAAGTGCAGTTTAGGTTTTGGGGTTAGGAGTTTGGGGTTGCTATTGACAAGCCGTCTTGACCGCCGACTAGACCAATATTTTCACCGTCTAGATGCTCATGCCCGACAGCATTGTACAGCATATGCCCAGGCGTCAGAAGCGCGCAGTAGACCCTGGACCTTTTCAGGTTTTGAGCATCTGAAGTGATTAGCAACCCGTAAGCCTTTATGTCTGAGCCCGAAAACTTGATATGGGGGTTTCCGAAAATTAGGGGACCCTAATATAGTACCCTAAATAGTAGGATCCTTATTATAAGAACCCTAAAAGAAGGTACCCCCTAGTTTCGGAAACTCACATATCGTTGTTTGTGGGGAAGAAGGCCCCTTGAATAGGGTTAGGGGTCCGGGGCATGGGCCCCCAGGGTTAGGGGTCCCGGCATGTTGGCTGGTTATCGAAGGGTGCAGCCTATTACCACTTCATAGCCTGCGGGTGCTTCTCGCCAAATCTGCACAACCCGGCCCAAAGCCCTATTCTAATTGCTTTGCCCGTTTATGAGCCCTGCGCGTTCAAAGGTCCAAGGCTATTTCTGCAAGCAGGCTCTGCATCAGCCTGGTCGGGAGGATCGATTATGCGCTCAAGGTTCGATACAAATACACGAACCTGGTTGCTATAAAACTGGACGCTTTGTTCCAGCAACTCCGAGGAAAAGGGGGGCGCGGGGCATCCGGCTGTGCGCCAGCATTTATTCGCAAGCACCCCTCCCCCCCCTCCCTAAACCCCAAATCCTAAACCCTAAACCCCTAAACCCTAAAAGAACATCCTGCGCAAGGTAGGCTTGGAGATGATGCATAGTCAGTGTGAGCAGCTAAAGCCTCGCTCCCTCAGCGAGAGAGAAAGGTTTAATGTAGTAGTCTTAGTAATTAGAATAGGGTTCCTTGAAAACGATCCTGAAAGGGTGCTATAAGGGATACCATAAGGGTTAAATGGCCGATATTATGCTATATTTATAGTAAGGAACCCCCCAAAAAAAGCATGCAGTATATGAGGTCATGTTCAGGGCTGTAAGGGTTAGGGTTTAGGGCTGTCCTGGCGTGACGTTGCAAGCCAGTTGCAAAACGGTTTAGGGTTTCGGGTTTTTGGGATCTGCTCGATTTGTCTGAAAGTGCGTCGGTGGCTTGTTGCCTGCAGCATTTCTGGCTTGAGCACGAGAGAACTTTTGGTTTTTGATTCGTCACATCACCGGAAGTACGCATCTAGAGCTTGCCTGCTTCGGCTGATTTAGGGTTTATAGGGTTTAGGGTTTAGAAAGTTGTTGCATGCTGTTGCATCAAAGCCGTTTGTGTTCCAGCAAACAGGCACAAGAGAGGATTTAAGATTTTGCGGGCAAAGGCTCAGGCCTTACATTGGTGTAGACCCTACAGTCTGATCAAAGGCTCAGGAGGCGTTTCTTAACCTCACACCCTAAACCTTAAACACTAAACCATACTAAACCTGCAAATAAGCCCCACACTCTGAACCCCGAGGGACCCCCATCCTGAAGACCGATCACCCCGAACCCTGACCTCTGGGTCCTCCTTGGATACAATTTTATACATTTTTGTTATCATCAAACCCAAGTAAGGATTAAGAATGATCATTTTTGTTACAACTAAACAAAAATAAGGATTAAGAATGATCATTTTTGATATAATTAATCCCAAATACGGATTAGCAATGATCATTTTTAATATGGCTCCAACAAGGAACCCGAACTCTACGTCTGATCCCACAGACAAGACGCGTGAAGTTCGGAACAGCGGGCGCCCGCTGGCGAGCCGAAGATGGAGGGAGAGTCAGAGCACGGAGAGGAGCGCTTATGGGTGCCTTTAAGGCTTCAGAAGGGTCGCTTCAGGCTTCTATAAGGGCTTAGGGTTCCTGTTAAGGGGTTCTATAGGGGTTTAGGGTGTAGGTGGTTATATTGGTATGCTGAGGACCTTAGTTGTGGATTAGGGAATTTTTGGCCTTGGGGGTGTTGCGGCGGTTAGGACTGTGGGGGAGGCTAGATTGTTGTAGAAAGGAGACCGATGATGCTTAGAGGAATATTCCTGAATCCGGGCCTTTTTGTGTGCCGGGTGATTAGCCGCGATTCTTCAGAACTGCTTTCCGTCTATTCCAGTGTCACGGCTGAGGTCGACGTCGCAAGCCCCAAACCCTATAAACCCAGGGCAGGTGCAGATTCTGCTTGAAGGCCTATGGGTAATTTGTAAGAAAACAGGGCTACGCAAGGCTATAATCGTTGCGAATACTGGTACTTACAGCCCAATGAAGGTATTGTTAAGTCTGAGCAACCCATCACCCCTAAACAGCAGAAGAGGATGGCGTCCTACTCGTGATTACGGTTGTCAGCATCGGCACTACCGTTCGGCTTCGATCCTATTATAGCAGACCCAATATTCGATCGAACTCGCACACTATTTCTTGACGGAAAGGCTATAAATGAAGTCCACATAAATACTCCTTAACTAAACCCTAAACCCTAAACCGTGAGCCTGCCATAGATGTGGCCAGGATGTGGCTGAACGAGCTCAGCGCAGAACTCTGTCGCAAGCCTTGCGCCCACCAGACAAGCTTTCAGCCAAGTCAGCCTGGTTCGTGGTGGCGCCATGTCCGAACCCATTTTAGGGGGTTCAGGGGTTTAGGGTTTATTAGGGTTCCGCAGCACCCAGTATCGGAATCGGACTGTTTGGCAAACGAATTCAATCTAAACACCCGGTTAAACAAATGCTATGACGGGCGAGGGATATTTAGACGAGGGGCTTGGCACTCTACACCCTGCACGTCGAAGCCCAAATCCCTATTTCGCGATACCCGAAATCCCCAACCTCCCCCTGTTTTTTAAGCCTAGTAACCCCAAGTCCCTCAACCCCTTACCCTAAACACCAATCGCTTAAGCTTAGCACCTACACCTAGATTAAAAAAAACTTGAAAAGTCCCTTCAGTACTGTTCCTTAGGCTTGCTTTTTATTTGCCTTCTTGCTCCATAGTTTCAGGATTTAGGAGTGAGTTTCGGCTTCCAACTTTTGGGAGTGTAGGGCTCGGGGGTTTAGTTTGTAAAAAATTCGATTTTAGGAGTCAGGGCTTGAGTTTAGGATTACAACTTCGGGGCTTCAGTTTAGCATGCTGATTTCGAGTTAATGCTTCAGGCTTCTAGTTGGCATTGAAGTCCCCGGGATCGGAGTTTGAGGCTTCTGCGCGTGGTTTAGGGTTCAGGGCTTTGCGGGATTTTGCAAACCGCAACACCTGTGTGACAACTTCCTTCACTTCTAGATCGCCGTTCTTTAAAGACTAAAGCTCAAGCCCTGAAGCCCTGAAGCCTGCAAGCTCTAAAGGGAAGCATGCAGCAGAAGTACTGGAGGCCTGGCCCAGGGACCTCATTAGCTGCGTCGGCGTAAGGGCTCAGAATTTGGATTTAGGGTTTTTGGGGCTTTGGTGAGACTTACTGTGTAAGTTTTCTGTACTAAAGCCTGTAGCAGACCTTAAACCCTACGTAAACCCTAGGCCCAAACTCTAGAACCCTGGCGGCTGCGGCCCAGACAACTCGGCAACTGGAAAACCCGACTCTTTCGGATGGGGTGCTATCTGCAGGCTTCTTTATCTCACAGGGATTTGAGTTTGGGGCGGCCGGGATTCCAACTGAAATTCTGAGCAGAGCATGCACATCTACTGCTTGACGGCAGCATGAAAACTGGCAAAAGACACATTGTAAACCCTATCCCGACCCAGAATGTCTATCGTGAAAGTCGTTTCAAACGAAAGCCCTAGTTGGGATCGAGATTCCTGGTCATTTTTGCACGAATCCTAAACTCTGGACATCGACTGAGGTGCTCACGGCAATTGGCATGGCGATAGCGAATCTTTGCCTCTTGATCGGGAAAATAAAAACCAGTTGGGTTTGCAACACCCTTTCCTTCAAAATTGGAGATTGCAGCAGGCTTCTCAAGTCCTAAAGCCTCTTGGGTTTAGGGTTAGGGTTCAGGGCTTAGGGTTTAGGGTTTAGGACAGTTTAGGATATAGGCTGGTTTAATCCATCCGCGGCTTGAGCTTGGCTTACGGGACAGATCTGGACAACGATTTGTTGACTCTGCATGCCCATTGGGGTCTCTGCAGGTTCCTGATGAGACTAAACCCTAAGCCCTAAAACCTGCAGCCTGAAACAGACACAAGGGCAGCTCTCTAAATTGGGGTCCCCTTTTGAGGTCCCCAATGTAGTACGGCACCCCTTATAAAA